TTGGAGAGTCATCATAAGACGAAGGGGCATTGCCAAGGATCACAAAACTCCATCAGCATCAGCTTTTCCCAGATTGTCTTCTCCATGTACTACTTCTCTTCTATCTCAGAATTCTCCCATGCCAGTGAGATCTTCAGAGGTTCATTTTAGACCAGCTTAAAACTATAGTATATGGAAAGAATAGTAGAAATAAGCTTTCATGGAAGTCAAGTAATGGTCACTTTTTAGCATCTGGAGCTATATTTTTACAGGCTCTGATTGAGTTTTAACAGCATCAGTGCAGCTTCCTATTTTGGACTTGTCTTCCTTGCCAAAAACTTTTCTTAGTAAAACAGAGTATCCTTTGCATGTTAAATTGGCATTTTACAGCAAAATAAACCGCTAAAGACAGAAGAACTTTTAGGCTTTCAGTAAAAATCTATCATTCCTTCACTCCATCAGTATTTCAGATCAGGATGGTACTCGGATGAAATCCACCTTCCTTCTAGAGATAACAAAGACTACACTCTAGGTTTTTCTACCTGCTTGTCTTCATAGCTCCTTCTGGACAAATAAATCTTACACATAACTGTATAACTCTAGCCTCCTTCACTGGCACTTCTTGAACAGATTTCTAGTAGTCTGAAGCCACCTGGCTCCACTCTTATGCTGCACTTCTTAGTTCTTTTTCTATTGGTCAAATGATTCCCTCACTTCTAATGCTAATTAGTTCACATGCTCAGTCTTTTCTCTTGAGTCGGTAGGTTTCTTGAGTCGGTGGACCATGAGTCGGTGGTCATGATCTCCTCTTGCCAGAAATACATTTTACTCAGTCTGAGCTGATTTCAGCACAGTTGCTGAGTTGGCTTTCTTCGTGGCCCATAAATTCTGCATTCTTTGTGTTCACTATCTGTGCTACATTTTTCTCCCTGAGCTTTTTAACCTCCCCCTTGATCCAAGATAACACACAGGCAATAGTACCACCTTTATCTTATCTCAGGTTCCCACTATGATGGCTTAACTTACAGTCCAAGTTCCAAGTATCCACGAAGGCATATTCAGGGGGACTTCAGTGGTTTTTGGTGGTCACAGGTGGCATCTGTGCCATAACTTTGGATGACCTTCGCTTGACCGGTGATATGTGCATGAGCAGTTGCTTCTTTACACAATTTGCCACAGTGGGAATTTTTGTCTGGATGTGTTAACCAGGATGTACTAACCAGATCTTGTCTCTGGCAGGCTTGGAATTAGCATGATCCTGTTGCTGTATTCTGTGCCTGTCTCATGGCAAAGTCCTTCTGTGGCCCTAAGTGTTTGAGACAGACAACTGTGCTTTTTAGGTCCTTAGAGCTAGTCTGCCAATTAGTCTGCCAAATGAACTGGCCAGCTAGTGATTTTATCATATAATAACATCATTATCCCTAAAAACCCAGTCTGTACTAATACATTATGAAGAATCAGTTATGTAGAAGCTCCTTTTGCAAATCAAGCTTTAAAGCCAGGTCACATGAATGAAAAAAATGCACCTGAATCCTGTGCTCTTATGGCAGTCAAATAACTAAAAGTGGCTCCACACACAGTGGTGTATCACTTACTGATTAGTGATATTGAATAACTGCAGAAGTTCTGTTGTTTGTATAAAGGATGTATGATGCTCAAAAGAAACCAACAGTCACTTTGGTAACCATTAAGCATAAGAAGGCTCAATTAGAAATTCAAAATATGTTCTTTGATTCAATATTAAAGTATTAACACTCAGTTATGCTTGTGCTCTGAGATTAGAATAAAGGAGTTCTCAATCACAGAATAACACTAGAACATTTTATGGTATCAAAGATAGAGAAGATCTCCTAAGGAGATAGTTATCCCTATGTACTTCCTCAATGTCAAAGCAACTCACATAATTTTCTGTAGATCTTACAAATTTGCAAGATTTTTCTTTTCCATGGAGAAGTTTTCCCCTCTATAATTAGGTACTTTTGTAAATAAAACCTAAAAAACTTTGAGGGCATCTTTTGAGTTTCTTGTCTCTACATAACCAAATTTTAACACTTATTTTTTATTTCTATGTGCCTCATGTAGGTTAAGAAAGCTGGTACTTAGTACTCCACGTCCTTAAAAGAGACCAGGGACAGGGGAATTAACTGAGCTAATGCTACAGACTGGGCCTCTGTGCCAGCAAAGCCTCCACATGCTCAGAATCTGTAACCAATTAGATTGGATTAGTGCTCTATCTTTCTAGTACACACACACTGGTGTTTACCTTCACAGTTTAAATGGTTTCATAGAAGAAATTTTTCAGTTTTCCAAGCTGATACAGAACACTTTTTAATCCAGCAATTTCAGTGGCCGAGGCTGGATGTGATTCTGCATATTCCCAAATTCCAGCTGTTCCAGCCAGCAGCCAAGCTATCAACAGACTGAGTGGGGTCATTCTTTTCAGAGCTAGAGCTATAGAAAGCACTGCAGATATTCCATAAAATTCCAGAATAAGCAGCACTTAACAGCCATTTCTCAGCTGGAAAAGATGGTGAGGGTCTCCCATTCATGCTAGACCGGATAGGCTTAATTTTCAGTTGCTGGTATTTCCATGTATGCTGAAGAGCATTCCTGGTGAGGACAATCCTGCTGAATGGGTGAAACTAAATCCTGCGAAGAGCTGGAATGACCAAGACTGTTTTCTGTGAAGGAACAGGTTTTCAGAAAACTATGACAGGGGCCTGTACTCACTCTCAAGCATTTAGAAATGCAAATGAGGTAGGCCATAAAAGACAGAATGAAGTTTGCAATTGTGCTTTGGAAGCCTACCGCTCAATGCACTAATAGTCTATGGCTAATTAGTTCTCACCTGGTAAGTCAAAAGTTGGTACTATGTTGGAAATGGGCAAGACTAATAAAATCGTGCTTTCTTATGGGTTGTGGACATAAGTTATTAATGAGTTTAAACTATTAAATTCTGAACTTCATAGAAAAGACTTCCCAAATGAAACTGAGGACAATGTCAGCAGTAATACACTTACAAATTGCCAGCACAAAGAACAAATGAAAAGGGCATTATTCCACTATAGCTGGGCTTGGTTAAACATAAGGGCAGGTTCAAGAAGTTGGATCAGGATAGAGAGAAAAGGTGCATGATGTCAGGGTAGTAAAGAAACTTAATTTGGCCCATTCTCTCAAGGCAGAGAAAGACCAGAACTGTTTTCCATAAGGTAGGTATCTGCTATGACAGACTGCTCTTTCACACTTTCCAGGGCTTCTCCCCAGGAGATTAAACTGGTCATCTGTTCTAAGGAGGAATTATGCCATAACATTTGAATTTCCTGGCCCTATTTGCTAAATGTGTAGACTGTGGAAGCTGCTTTGATTGATCACTACTAGGTGATATACAAACTGTCCTTTCAGTGAGTGAAGTCCTTGATGTTTTTTGTTGTTACAGGCTTCCTCCCTTACACTGGTTGTGTATTGCTTTAGAAAAAGAGACTATTACTATATATGTATAAAACAGTCTGACAAAGCTCAGAGAGTAACACAAGAACTCCAAGGTAATTCATCACAGTAATAATCAAGAAATGAAAAAAAAAAGAATTAATCAGTACTGTCATGCTTTAAAGAAAATTATCGACCTATTTTTCTGGATTGGATGTAAAAGCAAAAAGAGATTAGTTGTTTATCTGCTCTACTATGAAACTCAAATACATAGCAGAGTTGGGGATGGGTTTAAAATCTTTCTGTACCTGAACAGCTCACCTTTACTTTGGCAGAAATATGGCCTTTTAAAAATTTATCATTAATTCTAGGTGAAAATTAGACAAACTTTTCTAATGAAATCTCTTACTGTGTACTCCGAGCATACCTAATCTCCCTTAGGAAATGACCATTGACTTGGGCAGACTATTCTTTTTGTTAATGTTCTTTTAAATTTTCACCAAGCATCACTGTCTCAGGAAATACTAGTTCCATAAACTGCTCTACTTTCATTCAATGCACGCTTAAGATTTAATTCATACTAACCTCGGAACTGTTTTCTGTAAAGAAGATTCAAATTCTGTGGCTACTGCTGTGATGGATTTGCCAGAAGACCCCACGTAGTAGAAGTTGTGCGTGTAAAAGTTGTGCGTCGCTTTTCCACACCCAACACTAATACATTATTTACACAGGATGCAAACTGTAATAGCATGTGAAAAAGTCTGCAAGATCATCTTTAACGGAAGCGTTAGGAGGCACTGCTCAACAATTTTTTCTGTGGCTGGAGCAAGTAAGAGGAGCTTCTAAACTCCAGCTGAAACGCTCATCCCAGTACCTAACTGCATTCACCGATTATGGGAAGGCAGCGTTGAAATGGCCATAGCAAAGCCGGGACTGCCTCCCGGCTCTGCGCGCCGCTCCAGCGGCTGCTGCGCTGAAGCACCGGGCAGTGCTGGAAGCTCCGCCAGTCTCCGAGCCTGCTGCCCTCTCGTCCCGGGCCGAGGTGGCGCCCGGCGGCGGGTCCCGCCAGGGACACCCCTCTTCTTACCAGCGTGAGTGGGGGGACCCAGTCCAAGGGCTCGGCGCCGCCAGCCTGGCTGACCTCGAGTGCCGCGGCGGCTCCTCTGCGAGCTGCCACAGCCCACCGCGAGGGAGGTCAGAGATCCCCGCCCCGCTCCGCCGCGGTCGGCTGCAGTCACCTCTCGCGGGCACCACCGAGCCAACGGGGCACAGGGCGGGAGAAGCCCTCTGCACCCACCCCCACGGGGCCTGTACCCGGCGCTCCCCGCCCCGCACGCTCCCCGCCCTCCCCGCATCCCCGCCCGCCGCTACCCGTGGCGGCCCGCCCGCGACCCCACTCCCCTCGGGCGCTGGCAAGGGGCAGGCTCGGCTTGTTCCTGCCTCCAACTTCGCCCAAGTTAACTCGGGTTTCCCCCGCCCCGCAGGGTCTGCCTGGCCTCCCGGTCCTCCGGTAGGGAGAGAGGGAGGGAGGGTGGGGAAAGGCGTGTCCTGCCTGGGCTGCCGCCGCCGCTGCTGGAGGCAGATCGGAGATATAAAAAGACCTGGCCGGGGTCTGGTTGTGCTTTCAGTCAGCGCAGACGTTCAGGTCGTGGGGAGGGGGCGCAGCGGGGCGCGGAGAGCGGCGGCGGGACAGGCGGAGGCAGCGCGGGGCTCGCCGTGGGCAACCCCAATGCGTGGACTATCGGCTGCTGCATTATGCTGGAGCTACAGTTCCGCTGAAGGGAGTTTGCACACGGCCGGCTGGGCTGGACTGCAGCGCTGCCGTTCCTTATGAAGAAGGCACAAGTGAGTGCGGCCAGGCTTCGTCGGCGGGGGGAGGCTGGGGACACCCACCTGCTCCGCGGCGGAGCGGGGCCGGGGGCGGCTGGGGCAGAGGGGCTGCGCGACCCGGGGCAGCCGACCCGTAGAGAGTGCGCGTCCGCGGGGGTCGGCGAGGGCTGTGGCTCCCGGGCTGCCCGAGAGGTGAGGGACGCCGAGGTGAGAACCGCTGCAGTGGGTGAGCAGCTTGGGGGAGCGAGCTGGGGGGGAGAAAAGAATTTATCACTCGGTCTTGCCCTCGGCGCCCGCAGCCTGTGGAAAAGTTGTAGCAAGCGGCCGAACCGTCTGCCGAGACTTAGGAGACCTCGGAAGGCAGCGGGGAAAATTGCCGTAATAAATCAGTTGTCTGTGTTACCCGGGCGAGTGCGAGAACACGAAATAATCGGGGGCAGCAGCGCCGTGGCTGCGGTGTTCGGTGTCTCCCCGCACGCTGCCCCAGCGTGCGGCGCCGGGTGGGTGTTGTAGGAACCCTGGCATTCCGTCCCTCACCCTCCCGCATCCCGCCGGGAAGTGCCGCTCAGTGCCTCGGCGTCGGCCCCTGCCATTATTTCTCCAGGTTCTCTAGAGATTTCAGTTGCTATGCTGTCCGGTTTTTAGAAAGAAGTATAGAGACAGACACGAGTGGAAAATTGTAACAAGAAGCAGCTCAGGGAAACTCTAAAGGGAGAAAGTTTAAGGCTGGTCTTTGCAAGGTGCCGATACCCTCAATCCTGGTAGACCCTAGCGAGAGCCAGGACTGCTCCGGGAGAGAACAATGCATGGACACGCACACCGCTGCCTCCGCGCTGGAGGTTTCTGCCTCCCCCTTTTCTTCTTGGTTAGAAGCAAGATACTTTTTGCTTCCGTCTGTTTCTTGACAACTGCTGGGTCGCCTACACACCAGTAGCCTGAAGATACCTCAGCATGCAGTCATTGGAAAAGACAGAACATATTTTAAAAGAAAGTGAAAGACCTTTCTGAAGTATTTTGGGCAGTTAAATAATTTATCAAGAGATGACAGGAATTAGAAATAGTCACTTTCTGAAATATTTAAATCTCAGCTGGCCAAAGCACTGGAGAATGTACCCATGTTTAAGGAGTTATTACCAGAAGACTTAATTTCTGTGATGCTGAAGTACAGCATAAATTTAAGTTTTATCTTAAATTATCAGCTCTGATTTTTAGCAGTGTATATGCATTGCTGTTATTCCCACTAGATTACTAAAGATGTCTTGTACCTCAAAGTTGTTGTTTCAGACCCTATATACAAGTGTATTTAAATATGCTGAATAGATTATTAATTGTGAAGGACCTCTTAAAGTCTGAGAGCCATGTTTATGTGTGTTTAGTTATATGCGTTCATTTAATATTGGAATGGATAGCAATAAAATCACAAGATTGCTATCCTAGCCCATGGAAGCATACAAGTAGGGCTGTTTCTTTCATGAAAGAAAAATGTTCAGCAAATGAATGAGGATTTATGAGTGCAAGCAGTCAAGTGTTTTATTATATTCAAACTGTAAACTTTTAAAAATCAATGGAGTACTTCTGCAAATTTAGAGCAAAGCAGGAACAATCCCTCTCTCCCAATAAACTGGGAAAGAAAGGCAGTCTTGGCATTCAGGACCATATGGCTTGACTCAGGGGCTCACAAACCGTAGCCTATGGAACAGTTTCTTGTCATGGTGGTGAAGCATCTGTCAGCCTTCAAGCAGTTACACTTCCTGCTTTTTGGATGCAGTGACAGACTCCTACTTCTCCAAAGGGTTATTTCCTATATTTTCAGGATTAGCAAACAAATGTGATACCAAACCATTAATTGTTCCTAGGGGATCAGAGCAGGAGATACTTCAAGAAGACTTTCCATTAAAATCATGAAGACCCTATGCAAAGAGAGAGAGCAAGTGAAGTAGGCACAAGAAGGTATACTTAAGCACATGGGGGCACTCGACACATTAAAGTAAATCTTAATCTATATGCTGTCCTGTGGCTACTTGGGTCATTGTCTAGACTCGTAACTGGCATAGTGAAAAGAACAGGATCAGGAAGCCAGGAAAGAAGTTAATATTTCTTATAATAAAATATTCTGCAATAGACATAGTACAGAAAGCAAAAACCACAACAACACTGAGTCTTGAAAAGACTTGGTAATGCCTGGATAGTGCTTAAAATAACTCAGGGATTCTGATGTTTAAGGTAATGTTGCACAGGGATAATATATAACTAGTGCAGCTGAAGGAGTAGCTGAGTCATACATCAGTGCAATGAAAGCACTGAAAGAAAAGTTGTGCTGAATGCTAGACTCAAAGTGAGCCGGTTGGTCCCTTTGTTTAAATCAGTCTTAACTTGAGAAACCACTGGAACTACAGAAGCATGTTCCCCAAGTGTCAGTTCTAGAAGTGATGTTTTTGAAACTATGTAATTTGATAGACATATAACCCCCCTGTTTTAAACATACCAACACCTGGATTTTTTTTTTTTTAAAGTTGTAATGTCTTTAAAATGTGATTAAGCATTTAGGGTCTAGTCATACAAATCCTTTTTCAATGGGGCTATTTCCATGAATTAATCTTATTGAAGGATTACTTGGATGAGAGGATTTGCAGGCTTATATACTTAGTAATTAAAACTATTATCAGAAGTGAGTTTATGTCCTTTTGCATGCTAATATTAAAAAAAATAAAATATCACTGATGTCTGTACAGCCTTTTACATTTTGTATAAAACAAGATGAGTGATGCTAGTATGATATGATCTTGCAAAAAGGTGTAGCAGTTTTCTGATTTGCTTGTTCATTGTTTGATTTGAAGACAATCTAAATAGGATTAAGTTACTAAGAAATATGCTGCAAAGAGGGGTCACCTATGGGGTAGCTCTGAAGGCTGCTGATGTTAAGGTATCACAGATACATGGTTCAGGCACTTGATCTGCAGTGACTTAGAAGCACATCCTCTTAGAAACATCAGTATTAAAAACGTCTTTGATCTCAGCTCAACTTTTTACCTCTGAACGTGCACATTATTGCTAGTTGTTCTTAGGCTGTCTTGTCTGTAGTATGCTTGTGTCACTGAGGTGGAAGCCTGTGTAGAAATTATTTTGGACCAGTATCTGGAAAAAGAATTAGACACAAATTGCCCATTCCAGTTTCATATGAGCAGGCTAAATCAGAAACGCAAAGCAGATACCTGATACCTTGGTGCAAGCTTACTTTTAGGGGAAATAATGTGCTCTGATCACCATTCTTTCTTGCTCATTCTGCAAAAAAAACCCCGAACATTAGGCACTGGAAGACATTTGGAGCTCATTTCGAGGTATAGATCTGCTGCTCATTAGATAGAAAAAGAGAATTTGCTGCAGCCAGAAAGATGCTGTGCTATTCACATTGAGCAATGGACTACGTCTCCTCTGATCCCTTTATTTTGACTCTGCTTAAGTGATGCCAGTTTGTGAGTACTGCAGCTGGAAGGAAGATCCTGGAATAAAGAGTCATATGGGGAATAAACAGCAGATGACCTGGAAGACTCAAGGAGGGGGGGAGGGGGGGGGCATTTTGTAAGGCGTGTTTAGTGATCTTTCTATTTATTTTTTTTCTTCACCTGCTTGTATTGTGAGCCTGCAAGTTTTTATCTTTGTGAACTATTTGGCACTTGGCTTTGTAATCTAAACTGAGGCCACTGACCCAGTTCTGCCATTGCACTGAAATCTAGTTTCTCCTTTTATGCACTGAATGTTAGTCCTTAGGTACAGTTCTGTAAGCTGACAGTGTCATTCTCCAAGCTTTGTTGTGTGATTTAATGGTATGCTGGCTCATGTAATTGCCATATTGTACAAAAGTTTAGAGTTGGCAAGATGCAGCCCTTGGCTTTGGACGGGCAATGCTCAGTATGCAGTATATAAACACAACACCCATTTATTTGAAGCAAGGCAGGAAAAATCTCTCTACGGAATTCCATTTGAGTGTTGTGGGAGCTGACATGAAAACGAAAGTGCTTGTTTTCGCCCAAACCTGAGGTTAGTCAGCCTTTTAAACACTGTAAATCTGCTTGGGGTTTTTTTTTTTTGGTTGGTTGTTTTTTTCTTCGTGTGTTTGTGGGAAAAGGAGATGGACAAATGTAAGGTAAGTGGAGAAGGGTAACATTTCTCTTTAATTTTATTGTTTGTCCCGTGCTTGTATTGCCTACCCAGTCATATGTAAACCTGCAAAACCGACTTTTGTAAATATCACCGATGCTGAAATTACTGGCTGCAGGGAGCACATGAAATACAAACTTCTTTGCTGGATGGTTTTACTTATTGACAAATGTAAATAGTGTCAGACATCTATTAGTGTGTAAAGGAAAAGATGAGAAAACAAAAATAGTGTTAAGTATTTTATTCGATTCAAGCTGGTAGCATCCATAATATCAAGAGGTCGATGACAGTACATATACTAATGAAGACATTATTCCTACTGTATGTCTAAATACAAGCCATTTTAGGAATTCAGATTAATGAACACTTTGGATCACATTAATATAGGAAATAAATTTTCATCTAATTTCCTATTGTTATCTAATAACGACTGAGTGAACAATTGGTTCCTGTTTCAGTTTAAACCATGTTTAAATTATACAAGGTAGAAGGATGTGGTAATGATTTTAAATCTGATTAGGAATTTTCTGCTCTGTATGCATTTTGCCATTATTGTTGCTGTGTGGAGCAGACCTAATTTTGAGTGCAAGGTGAAAATAGCATCAGGTCTAAGATGTCACTGCAGGTATTGCCTGAAGAAGGCCCTTGTGGTTCTCACAGCTTTGCAGCCGTGCTTTGGAGCACACTGTTTTGCAAAGTGGGTAAATCCTGAGCTTCCAACTATTTCATCACCGCTTGAAGTGAGACCAGCTGGTGCAGGCTTGGGGGATCAAGTGTAGGCTTCTCCCTTGTAGACCCAATAGCTGATCACTAGTTCACTGTGGCCAGTGCTCCTGGAAGGATCTCTCAAGCAGGTT